TGTTCTTCACTGAATTGATGCTAAAATTATTCGTTTTAATTGGCATCACATCATACCAACTGCCATACTCATGCAAATATCTGCATATTTTTTCTCTTCCAACAAAACTGGCAAATTGAAGTTGCTTGTCGCTTTGTTGCGCTATAAATAACGACAAATATTAACAAATGGCACTATGTAACGATGAATAACAACAAGCAAAACTGTTATAGCAACAGTTTTCTCTTTTATTTAAAATTCACAGCTCGACCAAAATACTTGGTAACAGATTCAGACTTGCAGTTTCATTAAATTTTTTCACCAACTCGGAAACATTGATGAGTAATAATATGATATTAATATGATGTTAGAGTTCAAGGACATACTAGTAATATTGATAATAATAATGCCCGTATTGATAAAATGTGACGTAGGTTAATAAACGCATAAGTGCAAGTTATATTAATAATAGTCATGCGTCCATACCAAAACAGCCACATCAAAATGTCACATTTCCTACAATCTTGCTAGCAGGAAGTGAGGGATCTAAGATAAGAGAGCCGTACGGTTTTGAATTTTCAAAAGATTGAAATGTTGTGTAGGGCAGTTCGATTTATCGATGGCAATTCGATTGAACTGATAAAAATTAGAGTGATTAGTTTGAGATATTTCAAGTAGTAATAGTTTGATTTTTTAATACGAATTTGAAGCATATGTGTGTGAAATTAGCTAATGTTTTCGTTCAGAAATATGTTGATATTTAGGACAATTTGTTGTTATGCACCCGCAATAACGTTTTGTCACTTTTCATTTTTAATACCAACAAACTTTTTCTCGCTATCGATCTCTCGATTATCGCTTTCACTGAGATGAAGCGATAAAAGATGCACATGTCTAAATAAATTGCTTGGATTGGTAATAATAATGCATAAATCTTACAGGATGGTCGCTTGGCTTTAGTTGGAGGTAATCCGGCAGAGCTTATTGGTTACTGGAACAGAAATGAGATAGACGAAGTGAATTTCGGACAGAATGTGATGCATTTCAATGGAGTTGATTGCAGAGCTGAAGATATGGGTATATTTGCATTAATCTGTGGTCAAATCCAACCATTAGCACATTTTTTCAGTCTGTCGATGAGACCGGTTAGCGTTGAATTAATTTATTTAGGCTGACTGATTTGCGTATAGATGTTCATTTACCTTTACTGTCTATTCACGTTTGGGTATCATACAAAAGAGCAATTGCCCGACTGAATGAAATCACCGAAACTGAAATGAAATCAGGGTTCGTTGATATCATATTTGAATCGAAAAACAGCTGATGGTGCGTGGATGAACACGATACCGACGGGTAAACTGAACACCTCGTCGCATCTGATCACTTCTACTGACGTTAACCCGCATCCGCTCATAAGCAATCATGTCACGTTAGTCTTTTTTTGGTTCCGTTTCATATTCATATCCGTTTTTATAATTTTCCATCATATCATAACTAAATGATTTAAATTTAGAATTGAAGCGCAACATATTAGCCAAAAGCAGCCCACGGAGAGTGAATACTGCAATCAAATGGCACTGAATTTGACTCGGCCGAATGATTTAACGAACAGTAACAACAAAATCGGTTCTTCACTCAGCGTTTCACAAAATCAGTTCTTCAGTAATAATAATATTAATAATAATATGAATGAATCAAGGTAATAATTAGTGTATTTGAGTGTGAAGGGGATAAGATGATTGAATGAATGAGCAGATAAAAGAAGGTTGCTACATTAGTTCATCATTGAATGCTTTTACTCTATTAGTTTGATTTGATGATGTTAGTGTGCTGCGCAAACGGAAAGAAAGTCGGACATCGAAAAGATGCTTTCTAGCCTGTAAAATGAATCTTGTGAAATTTTACTTCAAAAGCGTTAGTGTGAACGCTCGCTAGTGCTTCGCTTGAAGCACCTCAATGTGGATGGCATGATCGTTGAAATTAATTCCTTTTTGATGAACTCTCACAGAGGTTGCTTACTGTTAATCAAGATGGTATCATTTCCGAGGGTGATATCAAGGCAATCTCAAAATTTGAAGTTCGTACACTACGGCACATTAAACATAGAAAAACAGTTTGATCTAGCGACTTTTCAGACGAATTCTTTTGAAGCGGTAGTTGAAGCGAGCTGTTTTTTTTGTTGACCAGAACGCATCTTACCCTCCGCATAGAAAGAATTGTCACCCTAGTAGATTGATAACAAGCAATGAAACGGCACAATGACGATACACACAGACAGTAGCAGCACATACCATTCATCAGCTTTTTCCACCCTCCTCTATTCGATTTCTGATGATCCAAAAATCGTGACTAGTGTTTACAAAGTATCGAACATTTTCTCAATACCGAGATCGATATTAATACCGGTATCGTTTTTTAATACCGATACGATATTGGTATTGAAAAGCAGCTTCTGAAATATAGGAATGTAACTTGTTCAACACGTTCGTTTTACAACAAAAAACAAAAATGAACATGATTCATGCCCCAGTCATGATCGACATACTACCAAATTCACTTAAAATGACTTCTGGTATACCGGAAATATCGACACTACGAAACCCGAGGTCGGTATCGCTTTTCTAATACCGCTATTCGGTATTACCGAGATCTCGTGCAAACACTAATCGTGACTATGATTTTTTCTGTTCGTGCTAGTATATACCATCCGCTTATTGATGTCCATTGAAAAGAAAACTTTTTCAGGGAACGATCGTTCTCATCCTTTCCATCGGCAATTTTATCTCGTAAAGGTTTGCATTTATCACTATCTCTAAAACACTAATGAGAAGGAAAGCATTCATAGCATAACACCTTTTTTCAATTATTGTTGTTGCGTTGCAAACATCTTTTGATACTAATTCTGTTCAACAGCTGCATCAGGCCTAAATTTATATCATTCAACGAACAACGAAGTGTATCAAAATGAACAGTTACCACCGAAATTCACGAGATTATCATCTGTACCTTTCTATGTCAACTATGACTTCGTAACGTCAAATAACAACACCAACCAACAACAACAAGCAGTGTCTAATGAAAGTATGAACAAGTTTCTTCCTACTATTATCCCATTCACGCACATCATAAAACACATATTTTCAGGTTCTTCATCTCCTTCGAGTGCATTGAAGAACTGTATAACTTACGTGAACATTTCGGGTGGGAATACGGTAACAACGAAAGCGAGTGAGTTGAGCGTTCGTTGATTAGCTTCATTATTTTGTGAATGAGTGCATGGTTTGTTGAGAAGTATAAGTGTTTAAGTGCGATAGACAGACATTGGTGCTGTGAATTGGTTTTGTTTTAGATTGTGGTATTCGTCGTGCTGCTTCAGACATGCCCTATTATATGAATGTTAACAACGATTCATCGCATTACAATTCATTTTCAACAGGTTTTTTCTTTTACTTGCTCACTTGCTTTTGTACCTTTCATTTGATTCCTCTACGCTTTCAACAATTCGATAATTGCGAACATTCGACTCAAAATTGACTCAAGTAATAGTTCTTTTGAATGTTCATTAAATGAATTGTTTTGCCGGTCATTTAACGAATTCTACTGTTGTGCACAACAACAATTATCAATATATAAATGAAGAAGATGCAATCCCGCACCATGGAAGACGTGTATTCAATCCAGAGTGTGCTTTTACAACTGCAAATGTTAAAGCTGATAATGATAATGATAATAATAATACCAATAACAATAATAATAATAATGATAATAATACTGATGGAGCGTTGAATTACAAACAAACAAATCCTTCTCAATCCAACGCCAATAGCATAAATTCTTCAATGATTTTTGATCATGATTCCGATCGTAAGTCTCTGAATTCGAGAAAAATCATTTGTCGTGCTGGAAGTTGGCCGAAGCATGTTTACAAAAACGAATATGATCAACACAGAGTCAGTTTTGAATTGTTTCAAACTGAATGTTTACAATTTATTTCTGTTGTTTGCGCTAGCCGTTTGCACTTAGGCTTATTCTTATATATACAAACTTGGACGTTCTTCATGCGGTTGGTTCTCTTTATGAAGCGGCACTGAAACGATACATAATTTTCATTCGGATGTACGTTTTCGCTTAGTGGTGGTGACGATGTATTTAAGTTGTTATCAGCTGAAGAGATTGCAGCGATTAACACCAACATCAATGAAGAGCACTGCAGCACGACATTTATCAGCGAGCAGTATCGCGATGAATGGAGGCTTGCATTCATCGCTTAGATCAACAGCCAGTGAACGTTGTTCAGCATCCGCGTTGATACCGACAAGTCGTGCGGTTAGTCGTCTTTTTCAGCGATCTTATGTTATGAATAACCAATTGATTTGTTGATAGGGTGCTGTTGAAACAGTTTTGGATGAGGATTGTAAAACAGCAACAAGCACAGGTGCATTGGCTACTGTGAATGAAAACAGAGGAGCAGGCAAATACGTTAGACAACTGCAAAAAACAACCAGAAATCGTGGTCGTGACGCGGCAGATTTCAAGGATAAAAGGTCACTATTGCAACTTATTAATCAACTGATGGATTTCATTGTGGAAAAAAAAGATGTTCTGCATAAAATGTGAAATTGCAGTCGTTTATCTCAACACCAACGTTCAAGATCGGTTGGTTTAGAAGCAAGCGTGAAACGTTCGGGATCAACGCGAGAAGAGAATTGGGATCGTGCTAAAAGAATTATTGGCGGCGTGAGGAAATCAGTGAATAGGAATGCGATGATGATTGTAAGTGTTTTGTTGTATGCCTATTCGTCGGCTGTGTTCAACGAAAATATTTCAATTGCAGCAATCCGCATCACTCGATAAACTCGTCTCATCACCAATAGCTTCTAGCACCACTACTACTGCTGCTCTTTCAACGGTATTATACATTTATTCATGAGTTAGTCTTTCTCATTTCTAGGCCGAGCCGCTTGATGGGTTTAGTAATCAGTTAATTTCTTTTATTATTTCTAGCATGTCCTGTCTAATGCTAATGCACTTGAAGTGTCGAGTTCGCATGCAGTCGAAGAGCTCCCCAAATTGGATGTATCAGTTTGTAATGCTGACAATACTCCAAGTTAGTTTTGCTTTATATATTATTCCGGTGTTTTCATATCATGTGCAAGTTGATTATCACATTCAACTACACCCTATTCAATTGCCCATTTCAGACAATGTAGCATCGACAGTGTCGCTACAAGGATCGAGCTCTATTCCAGGTCTTATTAAATTACCACCTGAAAGATTCGCTTTGAAGAAGATGGGTAATATCTTCACGAAAAATTTACGAAAATCCATTACTGGCTCTTACTCGGTACGCAGCTAACCTGTGATTTCTTTGAACCTTATCAGGTCGTATAATCTACACCCTTAAAGATGGCAATGTTAAGCGTGCGAAATCTTATTGTAGGTGGAGTTTTTGTGGAATAAATGAACTGTATTTAGTAGGTGCACATTGTTTGGGTCAAGTTTTGCACTCATATTACATGTGAAACGGGTGAAACTGGATAATGATTAGTATGTAAATCATAGTTGAGAACAAAATACTCATAAACCTACAAAACAAAGTGCTGTTTCAATTTTCACTGACATCACGTTCAACCGCATCGCGCACGACTACGACAGGAAACCGTCGCAGATTTATACTGACGACGGGAAACACTAATTAAATTTTATTGTAAAGGGAAGTGGATTGATTTTTTTTTGTGTGTAAAGATTGTCATATCGAGATTCATAATATTTTACTGGTTTTACCCTCAAAAAAAAAATTCTTTTCGGATTATTCACTACACTTGTGCATGTACTAATCAATTTATGCATGAGAATAGTAGGAGATCCAAAATATTATCCATTATTTGGACAGAATATTTCAAATAGTGATCTGGAGAATGCCTAGAATTGAATTCATTTTTCTCGAATATGATCCATTTTCACCTATATTGGAACTTTTCATACTAATTACCTGGAGTTGAAGCGATGTCTGAATGGTCTTGCGAATAAATTTAAAATTTCACTTTTTTGCAGGTAATATAAGTAGGATTTTATATGGTTACATTAATCCAATCTGTTTCCATATTTTGATGCTTTTGCTTAAGCTTCGCCAAAAAATATCACAATATTAACTATAACTGGTAACTAAGTGTGGTCTGTTTGTTGCTCACAGACTTCACCCACAGTAAACTTTTCACACGAGCCCAGATTAGTCGTGTCTGATATANTATATGATAGTGCCGAATAATTCAGAAGGCTACCATATTTTACTTGCAATATGAGTGCACTCCTTTATAAAACGACGTTAAAATCTGTGAACGTTGTGCATTATCCATTTATCGGGGAAAATTTTCATTCGGTGTGAGAATTTTCGTGCAAACCGTGTCGCCTGTTGAGGGAGTAAAAAATCAAATCTCAAGTTTTACGAGTGAGTGGAATGTATTTCTGAAATCTGGAGAGCAAAAATCAAAGATGTCACAAACTTTCAGCTCTCATAACGTCCACAACGAAAGCTATTACAACAAGAAAGCTATTACAATACAGTTATATTTATGCTACCTGATAAGCCTTAAATGATTCGATATTACAATTGTTTAATGAAAGACACTGATTTCAGAAATACGATGGTGAACGGGCAACACACCATTATAATCCAGGCAATGCGGCTGCGGAATCACCTTTACCAGCTGTATTCGACTGCCTCGAATCTGCTGTCAATAAAGGACGAGCTCGTTTGATTGAAGCAGACAGAAGAAATTCCAGCTTTGCTGAGGGCTTGCATTCAACAGCGTGCGTTTTCATTCATTTATGATGTCTACATTTGTTCATAACGACTGTGTTATAGAGTAAAGTCATCGATGCAGATGCAACCTCGTCGCTATACACTCTCAAGTAAAGCATGCGCTTCGGGTCAACCCTATCAGATGTCAAGTGCCGCTGTTGAAAAGCTCGAATCTAATGCGGATTCTCATCATCCTCCCGCCAATACATGCTACTATAGTCCTCTACAAAAGACAAATCCTAATATCAACGATAAACCACCACCACTTCCACCAAGGACTTATCTAAAGAACAAAGTAAGATTGAAGGTTTTGATCAATGAATAAGCTCTGAATTTAAAAAAAAATTAAAATCCCATCACTTGGTACTAGCTGTGAGACAAAAAATTTGAGCATAGAAGGGATGAGAGTTTAACACGATTCGAATTCCCATTGCATAATGTTTATTTCTAGCAACTGCGTCAGTCACAACAGAAAGTGAATGATGAAGCTACTGTTCGATCAAAAACTGATGAAAGTGTTAATTTGCCATCACAATCAACTACATCTGTCAACACATCGACAGTGCGCCGTCCGTTGCAGGGCAGTTATTGTACAGTTGTTTCACCTTCATCAAATAATAATACACGCTTATCAATATCTGCCAATACTTCATCGTCGGTACGTCCGTCGTCTCAAAAATCAGCACCAATATCATCGATTCATCAAGCTCATACAGTTTACACTCAAATTGATCCCATTGCTACGATGGCTGCCACACAGGTGAGTGAATGTTTACGTTTGATCAGAATGGAGGTTCAATTATGACTTTAAAGACACAAGCGGATATGATGAAAGAACGTGAGAGACACGTTCCTCAGCAGCAGCGTTTGATCACTCAAAGTGTATATGCATCGGATCGTTCTCTTGGTTCGCGTTCAAAACGAAATATTAACAGCGGTCAGTTTTGCATCCATTGATCGCCTATTCATCTCTGTTTGTCTTGTCCTCATGTCCATCTTATTTTCAGATGATCGAACGAACTCGATCAGCACTAAAAGATTCTTCTCAAAGCACATCTGGCGAAAGCCATCTAAGTCACACTCACATTCGGACCTCCGTTTTTAATTCCAAATTTGCAATAATTTTTGTTTGTATATATTCATGAACTGATTTTTATGAAATCGATGTACACAAACATATGGGGTGTTATGGTTTTTCTATTTTAACAGCTTCTGCAAATCTTTTTTTAATCGTTTTATTAGCACATACTTACTGTTCGATTACTGCAAACAACGATAAATTTTTATATATCAAATACATCCACGTACGTAAACGACTTGCAAGAATGGCACTTGATGAGGACACATTTGAATTATGACAAAAATGTGTGGCTAGTGAAAACGACTGAAAAGTCGACTGCAAAGTCAATAATTAGGCGGAAGTAAAGTAGCACTCATCAAGTTGACGAAGCGCAGTCTGAGTGATTATGCCACCATGAATCGATATCATTATAATACTTGAAAGGTGGTTGTTGTACAATTGCACAAAGTCGACACCAAAATTTCGAGTCCATTATCGCACCGCTCCGATGCCATTCGAAAAACGAGTTATACATCGTGTCATTACGATCAATTTCATGTAAGTACCTGTAAACGACGCTTCGAAACTGTTCTTCAACGGAAAAATTCATGTAACAGCCTATCTTCTCATTCTGAAATCCATAAAGAGATAGATATTGGTAAACTTGATTAAAATCTGCACTAACAAATTCTAGCCACCAAAGTTAAACATTAGACAGAAGGAAGAACCGCAGGAAGAGCATATGAATTTGACACCAGACCGAGATTATTCTCGATCTTTGTTGGAAAGAAAGTCAACGAAATCGATAGTTAGGCACTATTGGCCTAAAAAGAATTGCGGAGTATGGCCTAATGAGATCAGCTTATGAAAGCAAACTGCGTGATGAGGATTCTTTCGAAAGGGCCCACAGTGCGATCTCTAATTTAAAGTGACATTTGCAAATAGTGATCAATGAACTGATAAACTTATTAACGGAATTTTCCGTTACGGCGTTAGTAACAGGTCAACTAAAACAAATCGAAAAAATAACTTTCGCAGAAGTTTATTTATGCCCAGCATTACATGATATCGATCGACTAGCTTGTATTCATCCACCTACCTGGCCAAATTTTCTGGTCCGTCGAAGTCGTTAACGTGAATAAACGAATTTGGAGGTGCAATACGCTGATAAAATTGCTTCGGAGGACCCATTACAATCGGAATCACATTGTTACTAGAATTGAAAAGTTTTCGTCGGTATTTGCAACAAATAGTTCAGTCGATTCAGAATGAAGCCCACTATCTCATTGTTTCCTAACATTAACGCTAGTGCCTCCTTTGTGGGTCTCGTTGTTTTGGAAAGGGGTGCTATCAACATTGATTTTGTTCAGAGGCATTGAGCACACTCAAACGAGTGGTGAACATTTTTCTTTTTTTTTTCTGAAATCTTCGAAAGTCCTATGTTGGTGTTTCCCGTATGCTACCTACGTAATATGTTAGCAATGCTTAGAGCTGACTGTTTCACGACTAGAGTTAGGAGAGGGGGCAGTCCTCCCCTTGGTTTCCACTGCAAAATCCGGGATCCAAGACCCATTTTAGAGGTCCTCCGCCACTTCAGACCCCTTCGTTTTCGAAGCAACTCCACCTTTTCACGATAAAAGGGTTGATTTTTACTTTGGGAAACATTTTGGAGATTAAAATCAAACAACTGATGAAGTCTCTTGAACAGACGAGTTATTGTCCATGCAATAAACGTTCATTTTAGTCATTTTTAGAAAACGCGGTCCCCCAGTACTTTGTATAATTTTAGTACATGTACAAAGTTTCACGGATGTATTGTCATGAAGTGTTTGCCTCTCAGTCACCTACTGATGGACAAATATTTTGGTGATCAAATATTAAGCACAAAAACAAAGTAACCCACGAAAAAGTAACACCCCGCCCTATTTGGAATTCTCCTGTCTGCAAATAGTAGGCACAGAAAACCAGAATGTCCCCAAAAATATCGATTCGGGTAACTTAGAAAGCTTGGAGTAGTACAACAATTTTTAGGAACTCGTTCCATGAGGAATTTGTGTCTCAAATCAGACAAAGATTATCTGAAATGAAGTCGTAGCAAAAACGCGTATTACTATTGGATAATTGCTGTGCTTATTCTGAAACGAAAGAAGATTTCAATTTCAGGCTTCAACGTTTTTCGACTCTGAAGCTCACAACTAACGACGATAACATGAAGGTAACTATTCTTTCAACAAATGTGACTGTTTTAATACAATTTATGTTATAGATTCTCCCAAGCAAAATGACCCAAAAGGTTTCTATCCGAAGGGGGCGCCGCTCGAAAACGGTTGGGAAACAAAGCTATGCGTTATAATGTCTAGTAGGCGTTGATTGATGTTATTAAGTGAATTTGAAAAAAAAATTCAAACAATCAAAATTCTCTGAAATCCACCAAAAATTGTTCTTACAGGAGGGCATTTGTGAAAAACTTTTCTGTGACATAGTCTCGACAATTGCTGTTTTCAAACGAAAGATAGAATTTATAGTCACTTCTGAGTATACGAAAACCCTCTTGCCGACTGATTTTTCGATCACCACAGTCGCCATAAATATCAACCTAAAATAAAACAGAAGATGATCTGAGAGCAGAGCTGTTTCATCATCAATCAGATGACGAAAAATATGCTGCTGATCAAAGGAATGAAGTGAATGACGAAGTAATAACTTGTTGGACAAATAAGTCACCTAACAAATAAATGCAATGAAAAGGGAGTGCAATATCGCACTGACATACACACCTGTATAAAAGATTGTAACTGGTTTGCATACTCTCGACGTTTATTATTAGTTACACAATGCGATACAAACCAGGCGACTTTTTTGGTTTTACCTCTTGCATGGTTAGCATTGTGATCGTTATTCATAGGCAGTTTTAAGGTTGAACTGGGCCACCACCGCAAATAAGGTGTAACAATGTCGCTATCCCAACGATAACTAGCCGTATAATTGATCTTAAATTCATTAAATCAGTCATCGCACTCGAATAGAAAACAAAATCGATGAACAGCACCTTGGCGTTGAACATTTTCAACGAATCTGTATTTTCAGGACTTTCGAATAGTTGCAAAATCCACACTTGTCCATGTGGTTTATGATAATCGCTTGACATTGACGATCTCGCACTGAGCAAAACAACGTGCGCTTTCGCTTGATGACGCTCTAGAAATGACTCAACACTCGTTTACATGTCATCATTTTTTATATCATATCCAAGTAAAGCTAACCAACCGAATGTAGTTAAGAAGCAGTTTTTTACAAGACACTGGTTTCGTTCGAATTCCGCAAATCCAGATATCGCATTGATACTGGTGTCTTCAATGTGATGATAAATAAGAACTGGTTGAGATGCCAACTGAAATTGATGAGCGATGAAAAGAGGAAACGAGACTTTTGAGGGATTCGAAGGTATGAATGTGATAACCTTGGATGGTTTCAAGGCAAGTTGCTCCAGAACACGATCTGTGCGGTAATAATTCGCTGATATCACATCAGATTGATGTTCCTGCTGCAGTAGCAATTGTTGATGGGGTTGCAACGAAACAAGTCTGTTTTTCACTCGTTGAAAATCATTTCTCAACTCAACTCGAAATATTCCATACCACATTAACACCTCAAATCACAAAACGATCTTCCACAAATGTCATAAACAGTAACATCAATTAAGAAACTGAGCAAGAATTAAATCAAAATTCTAAGCTGCACTAACCGACCTGTCTTACTGTTTCATTCAGAGCTATCGAAATAGAAATTCAATTATCCCAAACAAGAAAGAGTATCCGACCCATGAACAATAATGATGAGAAGATAATGAAAATAATGAAAAGAAAACGATTTCGCACGTGAGTTGTGAAGATCAGAGCTGAGCATAGGACTACAAATAACTTTAACAAAGTGCACCACATTCTCCAAAACAGTGTATCTGTATGAATACGCGATGATGATGAGTGCATCTAGAACGACTCTTAGCCATAATCTCAAACTGCAACATTTTGCGTGTTTGATGATGCTGAACAATTCATATGTCAAGTGCCTGCAATTGAAATAAAAGCGTAATATTCACATGTTACACAAATCAACAAAAATATCTGCGAACAGTTGTATGGGAAATGCAAATCGTAATGGCTTAAAGTTGTTGAAATGCACGTTTCAGAATGAACGAAATTATCAGCGTGTGATGATTATGGTGAAAATAATGATAAAAAGGAATTATAAATCGAGATTGGTGGTACTAATAGTTGCAGCAATAGTTCGAATAACAAAATCAATTGCCGAAAATGAAATGAGATGAAAGGATTAGTGATAAAAGGAAAGAACGAATGAATAAAACGTATTTATATGCCTTTTTATATTCATCTATTCATAATGAATGGTTATTTGATTTTATTTCGAACGTTATGCGTGTTCTTGAATTTTTCATACTATTGATGTTGGAATGGTAAATTCAGGCAAACCTCAAAATTAGAAAATTAATTACTCAGGTTCAATTACTTGGGTAATTGTAATCTGGCATATAAAACTAATGATAATTTTCATTGCTGGGTTCGAATGTGATTCCGAGATGATACTTATGGATCAATACTGTCCATTTATCTAGACGACTGGTTGCTTGTTGGTTTGTTGGCTATTGATTGCTTCATTAGCATTTGTTGTGACTATTGAGCGATTTGTGATGGCTGCGAGGGTTTTGATAGTTGGTGGCGTTATTATGGATGTGAAGAATAATAGGAGATATGAGAGAAGATTGGAATTGTTTTCGCTGAACGAGGGTACTGGTTTTAATTAATTGCTAGAACAACTGTCAACAATGAAAAAGGAGATAGAATGTACCCGTAAGAAGGAGCACACTGATAGGAACAAAAGTAAAAATACAGAATGTTGTTGAGAGCGGAGTGAAACGAAAGGATTTCAAAGAAATGAATAAGTAATTGGATTTCATCGAAGGAATAGAAGACTGATCGCAGATTGCATGATGAGGATGCTAATGGAAGGGACACGAAATGAGATGCACAAATGGATTGATTGCATTAGTCTGATGAGTAGTTCATCGATAATTTTATTTAGAACACTGCAAGTGACGTAAACAGGACAGTAAGAAGAATCAAAAGTATGTTCTTTGAAGCGATTATCTATTTTATTTGGAGTCTGCAATCTCTCATCTGATATAGTTTCCTCGACTTGCTCCAACTGAATGGCACAAAAATCATATGGTTGCTGGTCAAATCTGAGTGTATAATTCACCTGAAGGTGGTATTCCTTGAATTTCTATAGTTCAGAATATTGATGGATCAACAGAGAGATCAACTGCACAGAGATAGGCAGCATCATGGAATCGCCCCAACATAGAATGACCTTTAAGGAGAAAGCTCCGTCTCTGGAATGGTACCTCTCTTCATCAACAGCACATATATTTTCCGAATATTGTGGAATTTCCTCCATCCGACTGCATAAAATATCGTGAAGTGACTTGGCAAAGTTAAGATTAGAATTTACCTCATGTCAGAAGACACATCTAAAGAATGTCTAAAATCGTAACAGTGCTCCCCAATGAAGCATCTTCTCTTAGAAAATTTATGTTCCACATTGTCTGAATATCAGCTGAATGCCTGTCTTCTCAAAGTTGACCTCGAGCGATGCGGTTGTGACTCCGCCCTTCTTCCACTGACACACGCATATGGCGAAGTGCGTACGCACCATTTCTAAATTTATATCTGAGTTTTTCGGGTGTGTGATAGTGAACGAATAGCATCGATTTAATTGGTTAGTGCAGAAAGGGGTTTCGTATTTTAGCGTAGATGTCAGCGTATTGAGATTGCTCTAATTGCTTTTGGTTCAGCTGTGCGTGATGATTTGATATTGAAAACTTGGGGTCGTGTACTTGTTATGGGTTCGAATCAGTATGAGACTTACGAGCATATGATGACGAGTGATTAATTGAGTGAGGTATTCAGAAAATAGGACAACTCTTCGCTTGCTCAAAACGGTAAAATCTGAGGCTGTACACTAGTTTTATTTTTAAGTCTCAAATATGTTTTGCAGAGGCTCGACAAGTTCTCGGAGATCGATGATGGAGAAAGCTAATTGTAAGCAGAGACTATATTTCAACACATTGGGCACTACTATAGCTGAGGGACTACACACACGCACGCACAGAAACATCCTCAACGTCGTAGGTACGCCCATCCAATCATGGGGCTACGCATGGGCTTCGACTCAGTGGGCGCATCGGCACGCGTGTGTGTCTGCGCCCAGTGTAGTCTCTCAGCTATAGAAGTACGCATCTACGTTTAATAGGATTAGACTTGTTCAGGTCCATTATCTTGCCAAGCATAGGATACGAATAAGTTTCACGGTACCAATATACTTTGACAAGGCTCTAATTTGCATCCTCCTCTTAGATTAGACAGGATATTCGACATTGCGTATTCCTTTATTCTGTTGCTTGCAAAGAATTTCATAAGATAAAGAAGAGTAGAAAGGAGATGGGAGGAAGAAACGGTTTGTCGAGAATTTGTATTTGATTGTGTTAAATACACATGTTTGCATGATATACTAGAAGTATATGTGTGTGGATATAAACGATGATAAGTATAGACTTATCTAACACGCCGAACGTTAAAGTATTGATTTAGATGGATAAAAGATTCATTTCATGTCTAGCTACGCATATGTGTGTATCCATGCTCTTCTACACTTCAGCACTGCAAATCTTGCGACTTTTAATTGGAAATATCCTTTGTTGCAAAAATATAATTTTTGTTTCGAAGCAGACGATAGGTGATTCTCCAGTAATGTAATCTTAAACAAATTTATCATTCCAATCAAACGTTTTCTGAGCGAGCCCATTTTGTAGTGTTTTATTGAGTATGCAGTTATTGCTCATTTCTGTTATCAGCAACGGATATATACTCCATCTCTATTCGGTCACTTCTTTCAAAACTGCTACATTTTCGTGGTCATTCATTCGTGACTGTACGACATTATCAGCATTATTATTCGTAGGTGAAAAATGAGCGGTATGCAAGAACAAGTGAATAGCGCAATGGAGTCAGCTCGTGAGGCCGCAGCCTCAGTGGGTGAACGTGTTACTGATTTCTTCCAAGGCAATCCATTCACTACGCCATGCGGACGTAAAATTGGTAACATATTGTATACAAAATACCACATTTTTTAATATGGTTCATAATTTGAAAAAAAAAAGACTGCATGATTGTTTATATTTTCCGGATAGGTCTCTTTAGGTCAAGTATATGTTTGACCTTGGACAGCAGCACCATAATTTTTGAGTACATCGCATAGAAGAGGTTCAAAACAGTTCGTGTCTTCACTCACTTATTTCCTTTATCTTCACTTGTAAGATTATAAATTGAATTAGTTATGATGTTTTGAGAAATGGCTACGGATGCATCTACTCTGGCCACCGAGAACTGGGGACTGAATATGGAGATTTGTGACTTTATCAATAATACTGCTGAAGGGTTAATCAGTTCATTTTGTTAATGAATATTTCAAACGACTTGATTTTATCAGCAGTTGACTATATTATTATGAATATTGCAAGCTAAGTTTAGCATCGTTATAGAAGTGATCAGACAATGAAGCGCGTTGTATATCACTCAGCTGAAAGATGACATCAGTCTGCTAACTTACTTTATGTATGAAGCTGATATGAGGCTGCGTCTAACCGTAATAAATGTCGTATTTGTTAAATGCATCGAAAAAATTAGTAAGCTGAATATAATGGATGAAACGATCAGTTCTCAAAAAGAAATGATTAAATACAGATGTAAAATTTCAATTAGAAATACCATTTCCTTTAGTGGCCGTGATGCAATTCGAGCAATTCGCAAACGTCTGCATACCCAAATGTCGAAAAACAATGCAATTGTTATGTATACGTTAACTGTGCTAGAAACGTGTGTGAAGAACTGTGATATGCGATTCCACGAATTAGTGTGTCAAAAAGATTTCATCAATGAATTGGTGCGGTTAATTGGACCCAAATTTGAAGCACCTCAAGTAATACAAGAACGAGTGTTAAGTTTAATTCAGGTGAGTAAGTTCAACTAATGTTGCTCTATTCTTGTTTTGACATAATCCATCATTGGGTATATTTATCGAGTTTACTTACTCATTTCTATTTGACAGCAGTCAGGGATTGCTTCAGAATGTTATTGCGAATTCTTATTCAGATTCAATCTCGTAGCATTGATTTGATAATATTTTCTTCTTAAAGTGGATAGTTTAAAATAGAGACTATTTCGTGCTCGATAATAATTCGTGATGGAAATCGATAATAAGCAGAAATGATTGTATTCATTAATAATAATGTCGCTCCAGTTTAATATCAACAAGAATAGTAATAATGCTGTTTTCATTAGCTGGTTTTATTAATAATCAATGGAGAATCAGTTTGCAGTCGTGGAATGATGCATTCCGAGGCGAGCCGCGTTTACAAGGCGTCTGCCAAGTTTACGATGAATTAAAAACGAAAGGTGTGGAATTTCCGATGACTGATTTCGACTCAATGGCACCAATATTAACACCGAAACGAGTTAGGAGTAAATTGTTTGTTTACTGAAAATTAGACGTTGTTGGTGAACTAGGTGTGAATGCTGCTGAGATGTGTTGCAGCCGAGGTGGATACATTTTTGATTAGATTGTTGACGAAAAGCAATTTAAGTTCTATGTTTGGAGTGGTTGGAATAGGGATAGATGTGCATGATGAGAGGAGAATGGTTATTTCAAGTCATTGCATGTTTGTTTATTCGTATAAATCGATAGTTATTCGGTTTGAAACGGAATTGGGAACAAGGCGAGAACAACTGATGAAGGGAACTGACAGGAAGATACATGGATTATTAAATACAAGTTATATGCTGTTTGCAAGAGTGGTGTTGTGATTGTGTTTGTGAATAATGTATTGGTGCGTTGTTCGTTCGTAATGCACTTCTTGTAGACTGTCTTTCCATCACCAGTTGTATCACAGCACCACCACCAACAACAACAACATCCCACCTCAGCTGGCGATGCTGGCGTGGATGCCGGCTTAGACTTGACGCCGGTCCGTTATATCTGTTTTCACTGCTTTCCTGCACTTTTGAAAACATGCTCGGTTTGACTGTCATTTATTCGAAAAGAAAATGTTGAATTTTTCAAAAGCTGTGTATTGTTGTTTGCTTTCTGGAGCCTATTTTTGTATTATTTGTTTTGGTTTGTTGCTTTTGTTTTAGATTTCATATGGAATGGAGTAAATTTGGTGTCCACAAATGACTTGTAGTTTATGTGTACTTATGCTTCTTCAATTCATCTTTGAATGATAAGAATTTTGCGAAGATTATAAATGCATTTAATCAGTCACTTTATTGAGTTCAGCAACAACAGCAACTCCAAAATGCAGAAAATTATCAGTTCGTGGATGCGTCACATCCTGTCCAACCAACACCCGAACAACTCGAGAAATTACGTAAAGAACTGGATGTTGTGAACAATAATCTCAAGGTATTATCATTGCATATAATAACCCAGAAGGACCGTTGATAATAAATGTTTAAGGTGCTGCGTGAAATGCTGTCCGAACTAGCACCAGGTCAAGAGAATGCAGATGATATAGCGCTACTGGTTGAGTTGCATGCTACCTGTGTTCAGATGCAGTTACGTGTTCGCGAGTTGATCCGTGCGATATCATCTGAACAAGTGACATGTGAGTTTATGTGAAGAAGAGAGTAACTCTGTCAAATTTTATAACTCAATTTCAGATGAGTTGTTGGTTCTGAATGATGAGCTCAACAATGTATTCGATAAGTACGATCGTTATATGGCAAACCGATCGGCCGATGTCAACAAGCAAAACAATGGACAAGAAGCACACAACGAGCACGCACAATGCACTACTGCGAATCTGATCGACATTGAAGACAGTCGACCCTTATCTGAGCAGATGAACGCGTTGAAGACACATGATGCAGCCATTCCTAATAACACCACTTCCACTAGTACAGCCAACCAGTTCGTTTATGTCTTCTAGAGTTTGGTCGGCTGCCACCGACCGAAACCCAAAAACGTTTATCACTAAACGAGTCACCGATAACCGAAATTCGATGGAACACTTCTCAGTTTTGCTCATCCTTTCGGACATTTATTTAACTGTATTGTTCAGCTTGAAGGAATGTTCTTGTTTGAATCGTCTGTTCAACGCTTTTGGGACCGCTAGTATATTCAGACTGAATTAGCGCTAGGGAACGAAACTCAACAAGAATAAATAATAATAATGATAATAACAGTAAATAAAATAATTGAAGGGTAGAGTCGACATATGCAGATAATTCGGTGCGTTTAGATCAGACTGATGCAGGCTTATCGAAGGCAGCTTTTAATAAAACGACACCAATAAGTGAAAGGGAAGCGGCTGAAATGGCCCAGTGGCTAGAGGCCAATGAGTCAAGCGCACAAAAATGTCCAGGTAGTTTCGTGATATCATTACTTATATCTGTTCTCATCAGCAATACGCGATTCTGTATTATTTTAGAGAAGGAACAAAAATCGACAGACCCAAAAACGGATGATCCAGATGCGGGACTGTAGATGATTAGAGACATCGAGCCTAAGCCATCATGCAGTAAAAGAATACGATGTATAAGACGAGAAATGTAAAAGAAATTAATGAATAATTATCAGTCTTCATCCAATCTAGTTTCATTTCTTCCTCTTTTTTACTTTCTTCTTCATGCTTACTCTTTAATGATATGTGGTGTTTTACGTGTTCTTTATGTATATGCTTTTTGTTCTTTGCCATTTTATTATTGTTATCGGGGAATATTGAATAGAAGATGTGATAGAACTATTTTTTCAAAGAATAACGGGTTCGTTCAAAAGTGTTGACATGATATTTTGTATGGAGAAGGTGACAATTTTCACCGATTCAAACAGTGTCGGTGGAGAATTGCTTCACTGGAAAATTTTCGGTAGAAAATGGCCCATCCGGTAAATTTTTCATCAAAAATAGCATGACTGAAAATTTTTCCGATCAAAGGTTATTTGATTGAGAAAAGTGTTATCACTATTCAAAGAACATCGATATGTGCGTTGCATCTCGCATTCCTTATGTAAGCCCAAGCTCTGGTTCAGCTCTGACTAAACAGTGAGTTAAGACTAATCCATATAGGCAAGTTTCTAGTGTAGATAATCCACTGATTGATATGGGAAAAACTGTGTGGATACTTTTCTAGCCCTCCAATCGGACAGTCCTTGTTGTTGCCAATACAAACACACTTTCGTTTACAAAAGCTGTTTTGTCTAGTTGAAGGAGTTGAAGACATCCGTTTTTCTGCACTTATCAGTGATTTACTCATATGAAGCAATCCCGTAAGGATTAACTTTATCGCTCAGTCAAAATTCAGTTCAATCGCAGCCTCCTTAAGGCAGTTTGGGCGTAGTTTTAACTGAAGAAAATTACAGTTACTCAAGACACTTTTCCGATTGGTCATTTTTTGTCGAACCTTTTCCAGTTGGGGCATTTTTAGCCATACTTTTCCATAACTGTGCTAAGTTTTCGATATTTCTCCGGTGGATCAGTGCAACAAAAGGCCAGAAAACATGTTATTCCATTGATGGATCATAAGAAACACTTGGAATTTTATCAGTCACTTCTGTTGATTGTGGTCGCTCGCTATTCGTCTTGCGTTTAGTGTCTGTCAGAGACAGAGACCGACATGTGACGAAATTGCATAGCGCGATATGCATGTCAACAATTTAATGAATGTTGGTTTCTTTCACACACTGCTCTTTTTCAGATGAGAGCAATTGCTTAGACGTTCATAATTTTTACAAGTTGCTTTTAACCGCAAGAATTTACTTACTTATTAATTGTTCTTCGGTGGTGTGCACACCTTTTGGTTTGTCCGAGCATGTCACTTAAAATGATATCGTCTTGTTAACGACTTTCTTTTTCCTTTAAACTAGAGCAACTCTTTCTTGGTTTCGAATTTGTCATAGCATTTATGCGGAATTGTGGGCTTATTTATCATTATGTTCACATTATTAGTACTATGTTTATCATTATGTGATTCATAAAAGAGGTTCCTGTTGCATTATAATAATAATAATTGTTATTATTATCATTATCATTATTATTATCAGGATTAATACGATCATGTACTGTATGAAATGAACAGAAAAGAAGACGGAAGGAAGGCAAAAGGGGTGGAAATTTATATTGATAGAAGACCGTTTCCGGAGAAAACAGAAAGACAGTGATTCAAAGTGATTTCAGAGTGCAATTATAATATAATTTGATTTTAGCTGGGTAATTGGACGATCTGTAACTTTTCTCTTGAACCTGAAACAACTTTATGGTATCGTAATTGTATGGTTGCTTGATGCGTAGACCTGTGACATGACTTATTATTTCTTTTATATATCTGTTTCATTGATGTTTTTCATTTGCAACATGCAGATGTTTTTAAAGGTTTGGTTGCAATAAACAAACACTCATATCTCTTATGTAATTTACAATACGAAAGAATAAATGAGAACCAAAGTCTAATGAGCCATTTCAGATTTCAGCAAGTTTTCATTTTCACCAAATTTTAAGATTGTGTATCATTTTCGACCATATATCATCACACTGCTGTATGACCAAAGGTACCAACAGCGCTATCAGTATTATGACTGCTATCACGTAACTATTTGATAGCCCACATCTACCAATGAATATTCAGCAGTACACCATACTCACTGAATATACGCTAGATTCACATTAGATACGGGAAAGTTAGCAAGACTGACTGACAATGAAGTCATTTCAAATCACCAAATAACCAATTAAATCATCACAAAAATGATCCAGTTCCCCACCGTCGATTCCCGATGATTCACGGTGGTGATCAATGACCACTGAAACTACCGTAGTTTGTTCGCTCGCTTACCTTCATAACTGTGCACGTCTGTAAAAATATTGAATGAATACTTCGCAGTTTTCATCATATGCAGTTCATTACAATTCTGACAGATAACACATTTCTCATTGACAGTTTATCTTCACACGTTATCAACGTTCTACACCTAATATACACCTAATACAACGAGGGTGTTGATTTAATAAGATATCACTTACAATACAAACTGTTAGCATACTTCAGCATTTAAACTGAATTTAAAGATTGGGCCCAGATGATCTCCCCTTCCTTCTCTCTTTAGCAGAACCTGTCCCTTTATTCCATCTCCACTTAATCTATGCAGTCATCGACCTATCTAACAGTATGATAAAAAATAAACCTTTTAAAAAATTAAACTGATATATGAAACCAAAATATGTATGACGCAATGTTAAATTTTATTACAACTGACACTACAAATACACATATGTGGTGCCAATTGACCGTACAAAACAAACGTAGCAGAAGTAAATGACGGCTGAACCGTACGAAGCAAGTAAATAATCACCATATCAGTAATATCAGGATCACCATATTCAAACTAACGATGCATGCTATCCAGCAGGGATTCTTTCAGTTGGTATTAGTATGCACTTGACTTCTACTGCACAATAGGTCAATACTCTTCAGTTTGATTTCATCTCAATGAGTATAACTTTGCAGTTGACCCGCTCTTCACCTCAGATAAATTGATCATATTCGTAATATGGATCCAAACTCCACTCAGCTGTTGTTTAGTGTTTATCATTGGTTTAATTGTCGCTGCGTGGATTACAATTAGCTGCAAGGGTGCTCATTTACTCAAACTGAATTAATTTCAATTTCACATACTTCTCCTTATTGAAGAGAGCAGTTGTCAAAATGTGCAGAGAGCTGTGGCACAATGTCTTCATGCTTGCGATGGATGAGGCGTGTTCTGATTTTTTATTCAGATCTAGGGTGAGGTTTGAGCTTCCATTCAGACCCGAAAAATGGGTGGTCCTGATTAGGAAGTTAAACTTAATTGTCAACATGAACCGAATTTTGAGCCACGTCTATTGCGAGTCGCAAAAAACAATATGCTGGGAAGTTTTTAACCAAAACGATTAAGAACCGTCCTCAACATAGAGCAGTAATTTCATGGATTTGAGCGTATAGGTTTATCTTCGCCAAAATCAACACATCGATGGATTTCGGTCAACAATATGTTATTTAGGTTGAGTTGTTAAACCATTGAGTNNTCTGCGGTATGCTATCCATATCCCCGATATTTTTATTCACCATCCTAAACTTGTTATTATTACCCACGTCGCCTGTAATTTCAAGCTGGCCGAACCTCTTTAAACGGCTCTCTAATGTTGTCCCGTTTTAATTTTTTATTCTGGTTTTTCTTCTTTTCCATCTGTGTTTTAATTGTTTTAATTTCAGTCACACGTTTATAATAATATTAGTTGGTTCATTATTCTTCCATCTGGTTGACTGATAGAAACATTGTTCGTTAATTCACTCGCTTTAAACCTACCAGGAAAAAACATCCCATTCATTCATTCTATTGCTGGAAGGCACGCATAGACACAATATCGATCTGTCATGTAATATGGTGAACGTTCTCTTTTATCGGTTATGGTGCGAATAGAACAATATTCAGAAGAGTTCATGCTTGATTTCTTTCACCGTATTTGGAAGCTATAACAACTAATAGAACGTACTATCAAAGTATAGGTTTCAGGTGAATCATTAAATACTCAAATTGGTACTGATACTACTAATATAAAAAATAATCGTTGTAATAAATACTTATCTAAATCAACCTACATACAATTCATAATGATGAAGGAAGATGAAGAGCACATTGTATTTGGTATAAGAGATCTCACTGCTGCGTCACCACATACTACCATGAATTCCGTAACGCCAAGCAATAATTCAGATGGTTTATTTTGATGTTTTTCATGATATTTTCATCATTATTGCTATCATTCGTATTATATTTGTTATGTTCAATTTGTTGTTTATTGCTAATAACTAAGCTGATCAAACTAATTCGCAAATACCTTTTTTTCGTTGTCAGACGAATCAATTGAAACTGAACGATGGGCGCCGATCGGGGAGTCTTCCGATGAACATCCGTCTTACGTTGAGTTGGTGATTTTGATTTTATCAACTTTATTGTTAACGTTTATTGTGAATGTTGTTTCCGTTGGTGTTATTGTTATCAATAATATCATTAGTAGAGTTAAAAAACGAGGGAATTTTTGGGCGAAGGATCTCACCCTCGTGAAGGAGGATAAGATGGCAGAGGATCCCGTAAAACGAGGCTTCGACCTCGGATTCTGTGTGGGGGTACATGGTGCCGTCGTTTCCTACAAATGAGTAATATGAGCGTATATTGCATGGGCAATAACTCATCTATTCAAAAAAAACTTATTGATGAGAAGCATGATGATTTTTTCTTTCATAATATTAGATTTTCTAAATTGTCTAGTTTTAGAAGGGTATTTATGTTGTTCAGCTATTTTACTTTAGCTCAGTTTCTGCACGTACAAACTCAAAACAGTCAGAGAAGCGGAGTTTAGAACCTTTTCTCATTTGACGATGGAGTAGGACTCGGATATATCGGAAGCGATGAGTGACTGAGTTGGCCGGGAATCCTGTAAAACTGGGCGCCGAGCATGGATTTCGCAAGGAGAAGAGCGCAGAATCCGTTCACCTTTCCTAACCCTAATCATTAATTGTATCGTAATATTCCTTGGAATAAAAGGTAGATGAATGAAACAATGTTATTTAAGTGAGAATAGTCGTGTACATGAACTGGAAGAAGAGCAAGAAAGACTGAACGATTCATTATTATCGCTAACAACCCATTTTGCACAAGTACAGTTTCGTTTGAAGCAAGTTTTGCAAGCAGATGGTAGGGACCGAGATGTATGTTTTATTTATTATTGGTCGGTTTGCAGTCACAGTGTTTATGCTTTCTTCATCGTCTCATTCATCGCTTATCTTATGGTTATTGATGTTTTTCAGAATTTACTGAAGGAGTTACAAGAGTTCGCTTTCAAGGGTTGCACAGATATCAATGAAATCAAACGACAACGCAAATCAGCCACGTTACTTTACAGCAGTCAATCGGATAATAACGCTGATACTGCTGACGTTAATAAAGCAAGCGCCGATAGTGGCGTCAAGTATGATGATTATTTGAAAAATATCGGTGGTACAACAACTGCTATTGATCGAGCGAAGTCAGAAGAGGTGTTGAAAGAGCGCAAACATAAGCAAATGCAACTGATTGAGCAGTTACGTGAACAGTTGGCCGATTTGGAAAAGTTTGCGTATGAGACTGGTGATGGGGGCATTCCAAGTAACGAATTGATCGCGAAACAGGTCACTGATTAGAGTCTAGTTTTGTTGTTCTCCAGTCATTTTTTGCGGTTTTTGGTCAATATGAGTCACTTGAAAATACTTGTCAGTGCCTATGTGCTTATGGGAAAGTGTGATCAGCTGAAATTAGTGCACGTATCAATATATAGTGTTGCATGTTCAATTGATGCACTTCTTTCAACATCGTTTTTTCTTGTAATCGAATCTTGTTGTAAAATTTTGTTTAGCAATTTTATCAAATGTCACATTCATTTTTTTGGTTGATTTGAGTAAAAAGGTAAATGGAAGAATGGAATAATCGGATTCCAGAAAGCAGTTCTCGATAAATTGCACGAACGATTACAATTGAATTTGGAGCTGGACAAAATGTCATATAGTGATTTACAAAAGCAGGTCGATGAGGCTGTTAAGCAGGTGTGAGATCAAATTCATTTGCAAACAACATTGGAATTGACATTTTCTCAATTCTTTTAAATGAAGCGATAATATTGCAGTTAATGAATCCAATCAAAGCCAAACAGCAACTGGTTGAACAACTGCAAACACAAATCGTTGACTTGGAACGGTTCGTCAGTTTTCTGCAAGTTGAAAGCGGAGGTAGCAGTGATACAGACCCAGAGAGATCACATAGACGACGCAAATCGTCATCCTCTTCATGTATGTCGCAGATTGATGCACAACAGCACTCTCCCATCTCGATAGCGTCAATGCCATTAGCAAAACACAATCAACAACATTTAAACAAGCACAATTTATTGGTGAATTTGGTGGGTTGTGGTAGTAAACGTTTTGAGCGAAATCAGTTGAAAGGTACAATGCGTGGAAATCATTATGGGTGAGTTGATTTTTGTTTGATTTTGGGGGATTTAGCACGAGAAAGAGACGGGAATTGGCAAGAATGAGTCAGAACAGTACATTGCTGGCTGTAGTTTTTTCCTACATCTAACTGAAGATGAACAACATTCTTCCTCGAGTCACAGTTCTCATAATCAGAATTATTTTTGACTGTAGGAAATAATGCTACCCTTCCTGCTAGTTGACAATAATATACCATATAATAAGGTTAGTATTAGTATTTTTCCGATGTTTTACAACAATATCAATACAACCTTTATGAATGCTCTTCGCAGGGATGTGCGAGCCGAATTACAGTTAGCGGTTGATGAGACGATAAAAGTCTGTGAAAAATATTTTTTGTTGTCTGTTGATAGTGACTATCCACCTCGAACACGAACTCATTCTATTGGAGGATCATCAGTTGACGAGGTTTCTTTTTTTCTGCCCTCTTAATTTTTGCATTTTGCTCAAATTTTCAAGACACTTTCAATTGTCAAAATTGCATTTTGCTTGTATCCTTTCAAATCTTGCGAAATAATCGTAAGATCAGTGAAAAATCATTGCCTATTCATTAAGGATATTTTCGAACGCAGTGAAGAAGAGGTTGTGTGGATTGTACGTAAAGAGTTGTGTACGGCGTTAAAGCATCTCTTAGAGCACGGCATGAATGAATTCGTCCTTAAATTAACATCTACATTCCCTCCTTTCGGTTGTTTTTCGTCACGTGCACTTCACACATTTTCGAATGCAGGTTCCTCTTCTAGTCCTCTAATAATTAATTACTGTCATTATTATTAATGTATTGCTATCGAGATATGATTGTTGCGTTTGCTTTCTTATTCATTTAATTATGGTACCAATAATTTGTATTTATAATAACTTTTATTATTTACTCACTACAGTAATGGATATCAATCGATGAACGTCTCGAATTTCAGATTCAAAAGGCGTCTCCTCATCGTCGCGCAAGTTGGAACACATCTGGGATGTGGTGGTGTATTACTTTGATTTAAAAAATGCTCGTGAGTTTAGTGATGCCCCGGTTAGGAAGTTATCTCAAAGCTTCCAGCTTGACTCGGTGGCGGGTCGTACTCTTACGTCCAAGCAGGTTTAGTTCGTTACCATCAAGGCTTGGTATCACAACCATTATTCTTACAATTAGAATGATTATCTTCATAATTATTGTTTATTTTATGCTAATTTTTGCTTTTCCTTTGTTATTGTTATTATTTTCATTATTACTATCATTATTAGTTGTTATTGTTATTAACTATTGTTATTAATTATTGTTATTATTTATTATTGTTAATTATTATTAATTATTACTATTATTTATTAGTATTTATTATTTATTATTATTATTATTATTATTATTATTATTGCCGTCTTACTTTAAACAACATAATAATAATTAATGATAAGATAATTTATATTTACTAATAATATATGATAATAATAGTGATGTTTGAGATGCTTTTATCGACAATCGAGAATATTTTAACGAGCCACAGCCGACTGAAACGATCATCAGACGCAATGTGGAAAGCATTTGTGTGTGCAGCATTGAATGCGAAGAAACTGCCAGCGTGGATAAGGATAATCTTCAGAACGAGAGCGATCGTTGAATCTTGCTTTCATTCGTGGGCTTATATCGCCAGAACTGGTCAGTTTCTTCAATCTTTATCAGTGTCGTTTTCTTAATCCGTAATAGTTCCCTTATCCCTCAGCAACATTGTAAACCACTGAACTGAAATCAATTCTTATGGAATCTGATGAACCATCAGGCTTCTTGAATTAAATTAAAGCATCCTTGCTTGTGTATTTTGTGAACCGATAGCAATGGTATTGATAGCTTTTGTAAGATTTAACGATATCAGCACTAATTTTAATGGTAATTATATCCTTAATAACTTCTTTGAAAATTCAGGTTGCGAAGATTGTTATGAGCTGTTCGAATCTTTGCACAAATATCATTTTGAGCTTCCGGTTGATTTGGCTGTACGACCTTTCCATCAGATGAAAGATGCGTTCTAATTGGATGATTTAATCAATATAATGATGAATTCGCTTTGAGTTTTTTCGAACCGGAAAAATTATTGATTCAAAACTTTCTAACAAAACTGAATCCTCTCATCGTGATGAATTTGTTTTAGCTAACTGCCAAATTCTTCCTCTTGTTGAATCTCCATGCTGTTGCTGTCATATCTCTTCTCTTTTCTGTGTTATGCATCGATCTTGAATTGCTGACTTTTTTCATTATCAAGTTCATTTTATTTGTGTCAACATTCCACTCAAAAGTCATCTATTTGAGACGACCGGCAGTCTTTTGCAATCATATATCTGTGCCATCCACTCTCAGCAGCAAAATCCATCTAAGTGTTTCAAAGGTGAAGAAATGTTCTCAAAAATTCCCTTTGCTTGCAAGCGTATTCTTCCATTTCAAAAGGAGTTTATGCCAGAATCTAAATCGACGTGATCTGAGCCTGTTGAGCTTAATGTTAGAATTTGGGGCATGCCTTATTGAATAAGGCAACCCTATTCACTTCTCTATTTTTTGTGTGATTTTTTCACTACGCAACGGGTGCTTACTTGCTTAAGGCATATTTTGCGTTTTTCTTGCAAATTTTTCCTCAGTTTCATTTCAGAATTGTTTCAGAAAACAAAATTCGAAATCTCAATTTTTTATTTTCCTTCATTTTGCTATAAAGTGTAAGTGAAGGTAGAATAAGCTATGACAGATCATGCAAAAGAGTAGCGCAATGCAAGAAGTAGGGTTGAAACTGAACGGTTTCCGTTATGCTGCTCGGTTTGTTTTGAAGCAGCGAATCTTCTGATGTTATAGCATAGCTACAAAATATATCGGCATCGGTATGCCGTTCGATTTCACCTGAAACTATCCTCTGTAAGCAGGGCTCAAACTTACGACATATCAATTTTTGGTCGCATGTCCTATAAACTTTTATTAGATCGATATTACTTGTACGTTGAGAGATTGGTCGGCGATCGATCTGTGAGATTGGTGGAATGTGCGTATATGTATTATGGTTAGTGTGTCGCGGGAAAAGAACAAAAGTCACGGACGAAATTTGCTGTCGAAGACCCCGAAAATGCGGTTGCCCTGAAAAAAATGGAGAAAAGACTCAGTCTCATCACGTCTCAAAATTCTTACTGAATACAAGGGGGACGTGAAATAGGAGCGCCCTCCACTGTTGAATGAGACACACTGCTTTCATTGCTTCTCTGTTTGCGAGAATGCTGATCTCGACTTCGTTTTGATAACCTGAATGTAATTGAAAAATCGAGTGGTTCTTTCGATACGGTTACATACGTTAAATGGATAGATTGAATCGCCCATCAAATAATACAAAGAACACTCAGTGCGTTAAGAGAATAGACGAGGCATGCAATGCATTGATGAAGAGCAAGGATTCATAAAGCGGACAATTCATTGATATTATTTTAAAAATATTACTTAACAAGTATTCATTTACTAGTCATTTCTGTCATCGCTGTATCTAACTTACACGTTTTTGATGCGTGGATCCAATTTTGTCAATTTTCGAGGAAATCCTCGAAACTTTTTGGTGAACGGGGATCCCCGAGATTTCCCTTTCTCCGCAACTCACTAGTTACGATTACAGTGTGGCACTGCTACTAGATTGCGTTTGATTATTCAAAATATTCGTAGCAACGAATATTTATTGTTGTTTGGCTGTGGAACAGTTAATATTGCAAGATGATTGTCAACTCCACTGATGTAGCAATATAAGTCACTACAGTAATATGAAAAGTTGAGTGTTTTGGAATCCATGTGAAGGAATAAGTGTAGATGTGTTGAGAGTTGGATATGTTAAATGGAAGTGATAATATCAAAAGATGGATAAGTATATTTAAATAAATTAATCAAAATTACAGAGGACACACACGTCAACTGCACTTCCCAACCATCTCTCATAATCATATTCACTAACATTAGATGCATGATAACGCTCATAACATGAATGGCATTCATCAGTTCGTACATCATTTCATCAGTTCACAAGTGCTTTTACTGTTGAGAGCCAATCATGTGTTCATTTTCTACGCCACTGCTCACACACTAATTTCAAAGTTGATTTAATAGCTGGTGAATCACCCTTTCTGTAATCACGCATCGTTTCGTGCACAGCTGAGCCCTCTTGCAGGTTTTTCGAGGTTTAAAAATTGCAATACGGGGCAGAACAGAACAGCTCAAAAGGCAAAACAGAAAGCCCGAAATCCTTTTTTTTTCAAGAGGAGGTAGGGTAAAGTGACTTGAAAAAGTGAGTGTGGAGAAAGAAATAGTTGGAGGATTGGAATAAAACAAAATAGGTGAGATCTCCCGAAGTGTGGAATGGAGATATCGCAAGTCCTAGCCACTGCAATACTTTTCTGGTCATCTCATTCATTTATTTATTCAGCTAATTTATGTACTTTTCGCTCTTCCAGATCTTACCAGTTACCAATATTACCAAAGTTCACTGCTCTTCTCATTCCCATCTGATCCCTTAACTCGTCATTAATTATTATTTTTGGTGGTATTTTTGTAATCTAGGGTTCATTGCTTATGAATAATCACTTTGTTTCATTGTTGTCACCAATTTGCGAAAAGTTGGCTTCAGCTTAAATATCAAACGGATGTCGATCATTGGATAATGAGAGTCATTGCTACGCTTCAAGCGATGCTCTCTTATTGTTAGTAGTCCATCAACCATCTTTTCATTCCGTACACATTTCTCATTATATTTTTGCTTTGGTTTGTTATTAATTGTCTTCTTTGTTATTTTCTATCGGACATTCCATGCGACTTCTCTGTTTTGTTATGCTTTACCAAGGGTCTCTTGATAATGAAATTATATTTATTTTTATATTCTGTTCATTTCAATCCATCATGTTCCTTGTTGTGATTATTTCTAGCTTTAAGGTTTTGGATAGTATGAAATTGAATGTAGTTACATCATTCATTCGTCTTTAATGAATGTTTCATATCTATATCTATACATCGTTGACCGTTAATAAGTGTAACTGTATATCTCAGTTTTGGAAAATATTCGGGTGTTTTATACTTTCTCGTTATCTTTCTTTTCCATCGATTCATTGAATTTGTATATTTTATCATTGATCATTACTGATTAATAGATTTCTTTTTTTAACTCTTGGTATCATCTACTTTCTCTAATACTAACACTCGAGATAGTTCTTCGAAAAGAATTTCCATCGATCTGTTTGTGATGCTGATGAATTGTTTTCTGTGTGAATTATTTTGATGTATCTTATTCTTTATCAACTATCCGATATATGCTGGAGTCTCGCCAAAGAAATCAGTACCATTCCTGAATTTACAATTATTTGCCTTACGTATTCATGTTTGCCTAAATAATATTACCAGTGGGTCTTCCCATCATTATTTTGGTCATCCCAAAGGGACATTCGTGTCCTTATGGGAGCCATTCCGTGGCTGTTTCTGTTTACCTTCTATCTTTCATGCGGACAACATGACCAGCGCACATCAATACAGTACTGAAATCGTTAACATGTGGATCGTATTCCTTGTAATCATTTAATTCATCTCATATATTGCCTATCTTATAATCGTCATAATATCGTCTAATTTACAGTTGTATTGATCCAGTTTGAGTTGATAAAAATGTGTAATAAATTTATTTGATTTCCAAATACAAGGCTTTTTTTGATTTTTTTCCAAACAATAAGATAAGGGGAAGTTGGCAGCATTTAAATAATGCACGGCGAAGTGGAGTCAAAGTTTTATTCACAATTGATTATCAGAAGAAACGGAATCCGTGGAGAAGTGCGTATGTTATCAACTTCTTCGGATTGATATCAATTACAATAATACGGGAGGCGGGAAGTGATATGCCTGTGGGATGAGAGCACATCATTAACAACGATAATAAGTTAGGAGCGGATGTGACAAAGAAAGGTCAGGTGTTTTGGGTAAGAACAGCAAGAAAATTATATTATCAAGTACTATTTAAAGTTTTCCGGGATCTGGTTATTGTTCGGACTGTAAGCGGTCGGTTTGCCGATCGCTCTAGGTAACGGGCAATAGGCCTGCCCGCCTAGCCAGCGGGGTGGCGTCATCTGTGGCTAAAACAA